GATCCAATTGCCTCAAATTTTCTTGCTCCAGTCTTGCTCGCTCAAGTTTTAAGGCTTCCTTCTTCATCTTTCGTTCATTCTCTTTCTTCTCTGCAAGACGCTTTGCTGCTTCAGCAGCCTCCAGGGCCTTCACTTTAACATCCCTCTTCCCTAGAAGGAAGTAAAAGATTTGAATTAGAATTAAGTTCCAAAGAAAACATGTTCTAACAAAAAAAGAAAAAAATTTACTATCAAGCATATAGTTCCCTACTTCACACAAAAAGAATGTGGATGTAAGAAATGCTTAGCAATTGGAGTTTATAATGTAGCTTGTTAACTTTAAGCATCTGGTAAATTCTATCCATCAAAGGATTCCATAAAAGCCTGAGACGAACTCCTGGAATTTATCATTTGCTGTCCTCCCTTGCCCCTTGATCCCCACCCTCAAATATATACAAAGGGGAAATGACAAACAGATTACCTTTAACAACTGCAACTGCCTGTTTTTGCTGAAGAACAGCAACGAAGGAAGATGTATTTGTGACTATATTGTTGATCCTGGACTCCTTTTCTAAGAAACTAGGACCACCTCTTCTCAGACTCTCTTTTCCAGATAGTTTCGACTTATTGAATCTGTTGCAAACTGATTCACTTGCCCTCTTGCTACCATTTTCCCCTCCCGGTATACTTTGACTCTCATTCAACCTATCTGTATCTCTTCTCTTACTTGTCTTACGGATCGCAGCCTTCTGCTTGACACTGTTCTTAGTGCAATTGACACTGTAATCATTACTTACAGATTCCAGACTGTTTCTAGAACTAAATAACTCAGCTTCAGAAATTAACAAAGGCACATTTGGATCTTCTTTAATCTCGGTAAGTGGTTTTCTCTTTTTGGAGCGAGTCACAGCTTCAGAACCATTCCCATCATCAAAAGCATCAGCCACTTCATCTATATTTTCATTTTCTTCAGTAATGCATGGAAGCTCTGGAATTGTACTTCCTCTCTTCTCTGAACTGCCAGAGTATGATGTGATTCTATCCAACAGCTTGCCTACTGGAGATGTGTAAGGCTTCTTGCTATCCCAGCTTTGCTGAGATCTAGAAATGGGGAACGACTTCCCATGTAAGGCATGGCTGACTTCCTCACCAAAGGAACTAGTGCTAACCTTAGGCTGGCTAGTATCAGAATTGATAGGAAGGACGTTCTCCATGCACATGCACTCCAGAAGTCCATTTGGAACAGACTGATGCACACTTGGTGATTTCTGTATTTTACACGTGGTTGGAAAAGTTGAAAATGGGGTTTGGAAGCAAGCAGACCTGCAAAGTTGCTCCAAAAGGCTGGCATGTTCTATTGATGTTTTCGGAAGCTCTAATCGGTCAATGCTAATTCCTTCTCCAGCATTCAGTGCCTGTTCATTATCTGTTTGCATAATGAAACCCTCAAATTCAGGCCTGGTCTGATCAGCACTAAGCAACTCTATAGGTTGTCTATGTTGAAAATCAATAGAATAATTTGGAAATGCACCAGTTTCTCCCAGATGAAACAAACTTTCTAGCAGGCTTCCTTCAACACAAATCAAGTGTTCTGTGTCTCCCCGTCCAAGTTTAGCTTCAGCTTCTAATAAAATTTGATTCTCTTCTATTTCAAGTTGCCTGCTTGAACCAGAGGTAATGCTGGTTCGATCTCCCACCCCTGTTTCCTCCAAGAAACAAGCTTGAGAATCTGCAGGAGCCTCCTTGGATGAACATAAAACTGAAAGCAATCCTTCATCAATAAAACCTAAGTGAGATTCTGCCTTGGTTTCCTTCTCTTCTAAGCTAAATTTACCCTGTCAACACAACAACAATATGATGAATGCTGGAGCAAATCACAGACAATAGCTGATCTAAGATAGAATTTCCCAAAGAATTGAGGGTAAAAGAGTGAAACAAGTACCTCATCGACTTGCAACTGAGACGAAGAGATAGATCCACACACTGCATTCTGATCTTTATCATTTGATTCCATACCTTGATCCTGAGACATCCAAAAGCACTGAGATTTCAGGCCAAATGGGTTTTTCCACGTAATTTAATTTTCAATTAAACGAAAGCCCACTAAATGTTCTGAAGTGGCTTTACCTTCAAGCTTAATGAAGCAGATAGTGGGCTTGTCAGTTGGCTCTCAATCTTTCTCCGCTTATGGAATGATGAACCCTCCATATGGAAGCTAGAACTTCTACCTGGCTGCATGGATTTCTTTGGAATCAGATTTCCAGTTGAATTTGATTCTACAGGAACTATAGATATATCCTTTTCACCGCCTCCACATCTCCCCATTGAGTAGAAGACTGCATGCTGAATATGACAGGTACCTGATTTTATTTTCTGTTGCTCACTATTACCCTTTGTTTCATAAGTTGAAATAGTGCAAGGATGTCCAATTGCAGAACCTGTAGGAGTTTCATCTGCATTCTTTACTAGAGCAGGACCACTAACTCCAGCAAAATTAGCAGCCACTGATATTTCATGATCTCCAAAGATATTTGTATCGAAATGATCTGTTACAGGAACTAACTCTGTTGGTTTTTCCACCTCAAGCTGCTCAGAGACCCTTTGCTGGGGAGAATCAATCTCTCTATTAGTATCTAAGTTGGATAACTTAGATCCTAATGCACCCTTTAGTAGGTTCCTAGGAAAATTTTCATGAGCAACTTGACTGTGGGGTGAATGATATATCAGAGAAAAATTTTGTTCAGAAATTTTATTGCTTTCTTCACGAGCACTGCTGTCCCTGTCTATATAAACCCCAGAGCTATATTTCATTGAGGACACAACTTTAGAATTTGAAGTCCTGCCTGATCTACATGTCTCCTCCTTATCAGCTTCAAATACACGTTTCAATTCTCCTTCTTTGGTAAGACCCTCTCCTTCAATTAGCAACTGCACCTCCGGTGGAAAGTTGGAATTTTGCCTGTCATCAAAGGAAGTTACTTCAACTGATCTATCTGCAGAACACAGCAGTATAAATGACTCCCTCTCTGATGATTTGACTTCTTCCTCCTTCCATGAAAGACTAGAAGCTTGATTCAACCTGCTTTCTTCCATATCATCAAAATCAAGTTGCTTGGGCTTCACAATCATAGGAGATGCG